CCTGCCTCTGCCTCCCAAGTGCTGGGATTAAAGGTGTGCGCCACCATGCCCAGCTAGACGTCTGCTTTTATTAGTGAAAAAACCTTCTTCCATATTGATCCTCTAGTTTTCAAAATTAGAATGTCATATAAAAAAGGAATACTGGGACTGGAGAGATGGCTCAGCAGTTAAGAGTACTTGCAGCTCTTCCAGAGGACTAGGGTTTGGTTCCCAGCACCTACATGGAAGCTAACAATCATTCATAACTCCAGTTCCAGGGGATGGAACTTCTGACCTCTGTGGACACTGCACACGTTTGGTACACTTACATACATGCAGACAAATACCCACACACATTTAAAAAGTCAACCAATAAAAAACATTAAAGAGAAAAGCTTTTTTTAAAAATGAAGCAGCAGGCTGGAGAGATGGCTCACCGGTTAAGAACACCAGTTGTTCTTACAGAAGACCCAGGTTGAATCCCAGCACCCACATGGCAGCTAACAACTGTCTGTAACTCCAGTCCCAGGGGATCCAACAGCGTCTTCTGACCTCTGCGGGCATTGCACGACACGGGTGCACTTACTTACATGCAGGCAGTATACTCATGCACATAAAATAAAGTTTAAAAAATAAAAAAAGAAACAACAGAGAACTAGTGAGATGGCTCAGAGGTGAAGAGCATTGACTTCTCTTGCAGAGGACCCAGGTTTGGTTCCCAGAACCCACATGGCAGCTAACAACCATCTGTAACTCCAGTTCCAGGGGGATCCGGTGCCCTCTTTTGACTTCCAGGGGCATTGCATGCACATAGTGCACTTACATACATGCAGGCAAAACATTATACATATAAAATAAAAATAAAATACTTTTAAAAAGGAGGCAGGTGCAGGTGGTCTTCAGAGCGAGTTCGAGGCCAGCTTGGGCTACTACATGAGACCTTGTCTCAAAAAGCCAAAAATAAAGGAAATCCTATGCTGCTGTTGCATTATTTGCACATTACCCCCTTTCACATCACACTGTCTTGAGAAGCGGTTGTTTCTCAGAACTCTAGGAGAAATATAAGCCACATTTTACTCCTTGTACTGAAGAAACATATTTGGTTGAATATTCAGATTCTATCTAGTTTTGGGTTTATTTTTGTGGTGTTTGAAAACTTAGAAGTTTTTTTGCTGTTTATTTGGTGTTTTAAAACATCTTTTATTTTTTTTCTTCCAGCCTGAGAATGAAATTTCTTCAGACTGTAATCATGTAAGTATGGATTTTCTGAAACTCACCATATGTGCTTTATAGATATGATGACAGATTTGGGGATGCTTTTCCTGTTTTTTGGAAGATTTTTTGTTTTGATTCTATTAATCTTAAAGGGATGTTTAAAAAACATGGGAAATTTCATAATACCCTTTCACAGAAACCAGCAGATGTGACCAAAAAAGAAGAAATCACTGTCATAGTATAGTAGATAGATGCATAACTACAAAAACAGGGGCAAGTTCACTGTATACAAACTACTTAAGCTAAGGAATATCTAGATAGGCCAGAGATATAAAGTGTACAAAATAAAACCTTGGGAGTCCTGGAAGAAAATCTGAGGAAAAAAACTTTTCTAAATATGATACAACCATAAGATGTGGAGTTGCAGTTCATGATTTTAAAACTTTTTGAAAGCTACAGACATCTAGACTGTGTTACTGTATAAAGACAGATCTAAAAGAGAATATAAAAATAAACACATTGACAGAAAAGAACTAAGAAAGAATAATAAGGTTGTTTTTTTTTTGTTTTTTTTTTTTTGGTCTTTTTGAGACAGTTATCCTGGAACTTACTGTATAGACCAGGCGGGCCTTGAACTCACAGAGATCGCCTGCTTCTGCCTCTGCCTCCCAAGTGCTGGGATCACAGGTGTGTGCCACCATGCCTGGCCTCAAGAATAATACATTTTAAAGAGCAAATAAAAATGAGCACATAAACGTATAATTAATTGATTTTTAAAAAATATTTTAAAATTTATTTTATGTACATGAGTGTGTTGCCTGCATGTATGTAAGTGCACCCATGTTGTGCAATGCCCGCAGAAGTCAGAAGAAGGCGTTGAATCTCCTGGAACTGGAGTTATGATGGTTACTAGCCACTATGTGGGTGTTGGGAACTGAACCTGGGTCCTCTGCAGAAGCAGCTGCTGAGCCATCTTTAGTCCCTAATTAATTGATTTTTGACAGGTGTTAGAGTAATTTACTGAGGGAAATAGCCTTTTCAGCTCATAGAGTATGGGTTTCTGTACATGAAGAAATCAAAGAAATCAGTTGAAACCTTACATAGCAACATGTGGGAAAAGAGCTAAAAACTTACATGGGGATGGTAAGATGACTCAGCAGATGAAAGCACTTGCCAGACAAGCTTGGCGATCTGAGTTTCATCTCTTGAACATATGTAAAGGTATAAGAGAATCAGAGACTTCCAAAAGTTATCTTCTAACTCCCACATGTGTTATGGAATGCATGTTGCACACTCAACCACACTCACTAAGACTTCCAGAGGAGAACTAGATGGTAGAATTCCTAGAGTAGAATAGAGATGTAAGCTTCGGTAGTTCAGCAATACAACCCATTTCCCTTCCTAGACAAGATAACGAAGAGAATAAGCAACCAAAGAACTCAGTTAGATAAATCCACCAAGATTAAAAATTTTATGTATCAAATATCCAGCAAGGGAGCTAACAGTTGTCTGTAACTCCAGTTCCAGAGGATCTAACACCCTCTTCTGATCTCTGTAGGCACTGTATGACAGGGGTGCACCTACTTACAGGCAGGTAATACACTCATACACATTAAATGAAATATAAAAAATTTTACTTTTTTTTTTTTTTTATGTGTATGAGTATATTGCCTGCATGTGTGTAAGTGTCCCTGTGTATCCAGTGCCTGTGGAGACAAGAAGAGGGTGTTGAATCCCTTGGAGCTAGAGTTAGGCTGGTTGTTAGCCATCATGTGGGTGCTGGGAATCTAACCCAGGTCCTCTGCAAGAGCAGCCAGTGCTCCTAACTGCTGAACTGTCTCTCCAGCCCCTATTTTAGAATAAAAAAAAATTTTTTTTTTTTTTTAAAAGAGCACTATTAAGAGAGCTACACAGGGGCTGGAGAGATGGCTCAGCAATTAAGAACACTGACTGCTCTTTCAGAGGACCTAGGTTTGAGTCTCAGCACCCACACGGCGGCTAAGAACCATCTTAACTCCAGTTCCAGGGGAATCCGAAGCCCTCTTCTGACCTCCAGGGCATTGCACGACAGGGGTGCACTCACATACATGCAGGCAATACACTCGTACACATAAAATAAAATAATAAATATTAAAAAATAATAATAATCACTGATAACAAATTTCACGCTATTCTAACTGGAATATATTTGTTTTTGTTTTGTTTTCCTTCTCTCTGAATGTAGTTGTTGTGGAATTACAAGCTGAACCTGACTACGGATCCCAAATTTGAATCTGTGGCCAGAGAGGTTTGTAAGTCAACTATATCAGAGGTAAGTTGTGAAAGAATTTTGTGGAGATTGTAATTTATAAGACAAAATTAAATCTGTTCACTATCCCCTTTAGAAAAGATTGACTTAGTTACTTTACTTTTCTAGGAATCCTCTTCTCTGTCTTGGTTATCATACAGGAAGGGCAATAATTAGAATTATTTTTGTTAATGCACATCTACACTTACAGTAGGATGAGATCGGGTTCTGTTGGTCTCGTTTTACAGTGTGGCTGTTGCTACACCTTAGGTAATCAGAATAGGTTCCCCTAGAGACCTGAAAACCTTTGTAAATGGTTTGGCTCTGCAGTTCTGTCCATGTATCAGATAATAAGAATTAGCTTTAAAAAGGTTAACTATGTCAATGCTTATATAATTATAAATTCAGTATAAAGACAGACAATGCTACTACTGTACAGATACTGATGTGGGAAAATTTAAAACTAAATTGTCTCAATGTAAATGAAAAAAGATATTAATGAAAACTGTGGTATTTGAAATATTTTTGTTTTAGGGGGACTGATCCCCCCGCCCCCTTCCTCCCTTCCTTTCTTTCTTCAAGGCACTGTATTGATCATGCTAGCTTTGAACTCACATAGCTCCTTCTGCCTCTGCCTCCAGAGTGCTGGGATGAAAGGGTTGCCTCACTAGGGGGGATCTTTTTGAGTCAGTAATAGAAATTTTAGAAAGCCAGAGATTTCTGCCTAGTGAAATAAGGGAATCATAAATCTTGCAGTTTTTCCACTCCAAAGTTACAGTCATAGGTCCTCTAACAGTGATGACTCCCACACACAGACATGTAAGTGTGACTACCTTCTCCAGTGAGTGTTCTTAGCTACCCAGATAGGCCCTTCCTTTATGTTCCTCACTTGGGTCATTTTGGGTCTGATAAAATTTTCTTCTTTGAACCTTCTAGTATTGGCTCAGATATGTATTATTCTTTTAAAACCACGACCCTTTATTTTTACCTTAGGGCTTCAGAACAGAACAGCATTATCTTTGAAAAATTGGTTTTCAATTCCTGGCTTTAACATTATGCATCTCAAACTCCCCTAGCTAGCTATATGACAACCAGCCTTAAGATACTGTGAGGACAGGTGTTTGTGCTCTATTGAAATCTAGCTCAGAGCATGTACATATTCACCAGGATAATTTCACTCCTTGCATTTCACTGCCTTCCTTTTAGTGTATTAGCAATGTCTCCCTGTGACCATTTGTGGCAATGTGGTTTTATAAAATATCCGAGTAGCACTTTCCTCTCCCTACAGGCAGATTATACTGGAATCAGGAAAATTAAATTCCAGGAAGAGAATAGTTGCCAGCAAAACCTTTTACTCTCTCTTATTTTCTTTTTTAAGTGTTAGAACCTTACTTCAAGGGAAAAAAAAATTATCACAACAAAAAACCAAGTTACTTACTTTCCATCACAGAACTAAATACTGCCGGTCTTTTGTCTGATGCCAGACAACTGTGATGGTACCTAATGAATTGGCTTCCCAGCCCCTTCAGAGTTTATTCTTTTTTCTTTACTTTTCATTCTTTTAAATGTCTGTAGCAGTGCTGGACACCAAACCTAGGTTCTCGCACATACTATGACACATACTGTGCAGGCACTGCAATGCTGAGCCATTACTCTTTTCTGTTCTTAAATATTTTGATGGTTTTAGGCTATTTTTGCTGTCTTAGAAATTTAATGACATAGAAGGAAAAAATCCTGTCCAGCATAATGAATAAATTTCTTACTAAAACATTATATCCTGTTACAACTGTAAGAAATTTAAAAAGCACTGTATTTCTATGTAACATCTCAAATGATTGAAGTAATGAATGCCGTTAAGTTTATTTTGGGGTCTCCAATTAAAAATGAGTTCCTTGGGCTGTGGACATAGCTGAATGGTGCAGCACTCACCCAGCATGCACAGGGCCCTCCTTCCAGTTCTCAGTACTGCTGACACCTGCTCTTGCTTTTGTTTCTGTTTGGTTTATTTTCCAGATTTTAAAAGTTTGTTCAGTATTTGGGACCTATTATATGATTGATTTCCATACTTTAAGTTCTAAAGCCTAGGTGTCTGCCAGTAGCCCTGTATTATACAGGATTTTTTCTATGGTTGGATTACAAATGCTGAGATTTTCAAGTAGCTATTGTTTCACTTTTGAAATTTACCTTTGGATTGCTAAAATCCCCCTCCCTGGCCCCCCGGGTTGGTCTTTTTTTTTGTTTTGTTTTGTTTTTTTTTTTTTGAGCCAGGGTCTCCCTGTAGCCTTAGCTGGCCTAGAACCCACTATGTAGACCAGGTTGGCCTCAAACTCAGACATCTACCTCTGCCTCTAGAGTGCTGGGAATAAAGATGTGAGCCCCCAACCCCCTGCCGCTTTTCAGTTTTGTTTTGTTTTTTAAATCTCATTGTGTAGCCTGGGCTGCCCTGGAACTCAGTTTTGTAGACCAGGTTGGCCTAGGTCTCACAGAGATTTACCTGCCTCTGCCTTCTGAGAGCTGAGACTAAAGGTATGTTTACCACATCTGGCCAGAATAAACATTTAAACATTTGACTGCTTCCTCCTGTCAAAATTGCCACCTGTTTTCAGTTTCCTTAAACTTTTAGAAATTTTTTAAACAATCTGTTTTATAATTTAGTTGGCGACCTCCCCCCCCACCCTTTTTTTTTTTTTTC